AATTATGCATGTTATCATATATCCATGTTTATTAAATGCAAAATAACCAATAGCCATGACATGTTCAATTCGTTATTCATCTGTAGAGCTTTACAATGTTCGCATATATGTAAGCACACCTCAATTTTCCAAATTATAAGTGCAGAAATATAATAAGAACCTTGCAGTTGGGAGTAGTTAGGTTTAGTTCTAATACTAAGCGTTAACACCTTATCTTTGGTCAGTTCTTGGAACGAGCTGACGGCAACTTAACTGCAAATTTTGATGGCTTACGTTTAGAAAATGTGAAATGAGGAGGTTACTTGTAGGATATATAAACTTTTGCGGTTCGCACGAATCTACATTCCAAAATGAGTGTATCCGGAAAATTTTAACACTATAGATCGGAAATATACACGAGTATGTGTTAAAAATTTCAAGTCTCTAGCTATAATAGAGCCGAAATAAACTGCATTCCTATGGACGTACGGACAGGAAGACGGACATTGCGCAAAATCAATACACTCATTTTACTTTCACGAATGAGTATAAAAAAGCTTTGGCCACCTTAACCTAAATCTTACGCGTTAACAAATAAATTCAATATTTTTTATTTAATTTTACAATCTATTGTGATTTATTATCGCTTTTAAAGTATTTTTAAATCATTAATAACTAAATTCAACAAATATACATGTGCATATGCATATATATGTGCATCTTATTTCGGTTAAATAAAATGGAGAGACTGCATTTGTCTAATGGCCATTGGCTATGCAGATCGCTGTGGAATAGTCTAGCCAACATAGCTTATCATGTCATATTTTCTTGCCCAATGATCCAATTTTATTGGCAGGTTCTGTAAACAAATATATCGAACACATTTACAAAAAGGGAGATAAAGAAGGCAAGCAATTTACTATCAGTTCAACGTTTATCAGTACGTATAAATATTTTGCGCTTTTTACAGGGTATCTAGAGTTGACAACATCGACTATATAGGATAATGATATGTTTACTACAAAAAATACAAATCATTGAAAACAAAGTCAAGAGCTGCATGAGTTGGCAAATAGCAAGAGAGAAGTGGAGATAGAGAGAGGGAGAGAGAGAGAGAGGTAGATGCACCCTGGATTGGACTGCATGGGCTGGCAGAGTGGCCAACGGTTCGTGTTGACCGAGCCCAGGTATTCAACGATTCCTGCTGACAGCAGTGCTGAGATGTTGTTGCTGCCTCGCCCATGAGCTTGGCCCGCCCACCCAGCGCACAGCACTCAGATATCTTTGTAGTCTTATCTTTAACGGCAGAAAGCGGGTAGAGAGAAAGAGAGAGAGAGAGAGAGAGCTGGCTGAATTGCGATCATAAAAAACGATTTGGGGGCCCGATAATTGAATGGGCCAGCGGGGCTTATCAAACGCTGTTCGCTTAGTAGTTCGCAGTCGTAGTTTAGGCTTCGCCTTAGCTCTGGCTGCACCTGCTCTTGAATGTCACATCTAATCTCTGTGGCAGTGATAAAGGCGCGTCCGGCACAGCTCGCAATGTTCTAAACATAAACACACACACACACACACACGCACGCACACATCGTACACCCATACGTACGGTGGTCTATTTGCAATGCAAATGGCGCAGGTGATTTACGGCGACGCGAGCGGCATTCGAATGTTTGGCGCTGCGGCACCGTACAAATGCGAGCGTCCGGCTCTGTCCGGTGAACAGTAGCGCACGGACAGCGCCAGTGACCGGAGCGCGAGTCGGCCAGTCGATACGTACAACAGAGTTCTATAACAGCGCAGAGGCATGGAGTTCCTAAGCACTGAGTGCGCCGCTAGATCGGCGGGTCCGGCGAATACGCTGATGTCGCTCATGCTGCATACGCTGATCGCGAAATACTGTGACCTCAGTGGCGAGAGCCAGTGGCCGCCCGATCGCGGCGATTGGCTGGACAAAGCGGGCGGCTTCGATGAGCCGTACGATTTCGTTGTGGTGGGTGCGGGCAGTGCGGGTGCCGTGGTAGCTGGCCGGCTAGCGGAGCAAGCGAATTGGCGCATCCTGCTGCTGGAGGCAGGCGGCGATCCGCCGATCGAAACGGAATTCGTCGCCTGGCACATGGCCACACAGTTCTCCGAGTGGGACTGGCAGTACCATACGCAGCCCAACGGACGCGCCTGCATGGCCATGCTCGGCGAGAGCTGCCATTGGCCGCGCGGCAAGATGCTGGGCGGCACGAACGGAATGAACGCGATGATCTATGCACGCGGCACACGCACCGACTTTGATGACTGGGAGGCGCGCGGCAATCCCGGCTGGGGCTACGACGAGGTGCTCAAGTACTTCCGCAAGGCGGAGGACCTGCGCTCCACGCGGCCCGATTACAAGCCCGGCGATCATGGCGTTGGCGGGCCCATGGGTATTAACAACTACGTCTCGGACAACGAGTTCCGCTCGACCATCCGGGCGGGCATGCTGGAGATGGGCTACGGCAGTGCGCCGGACTTTACGGAGGGCTCGTTTGTCGGCCAGATCGATATACTGGGCACTCAAGACGGCGGACGTCGCATTACCACCGCCCGCTCCCATCTCCGCAAGGATACGCCCAATCTGCACATTGTGCGGCACGCCCACGTCAAGCGCATCAACTTGGACGGCAAGCAGAGGGCGGAGAGCGTCACCTTCGTTCACCGCGGCAACAAGGAGTACACCGTGCGTGCCAGCAAGGAGATCATCCTCTCGGCAGGCGCCATTGGCACTCCACAGATTCTAATGCTCTCAGGTATGTGCAGCGGGTCACAGTCGAGCCCCAAGGTCTGGCAAGGTCAAACGAGTCGCTGCCCGCTTTGTCGGCCTTTAATCTTTGCCCACATTTGATTAGATTGCCAAAACTTATGCAAAAATAGAAAACAAACGAATTGTTTGAGGCTTTTATGGCCGAGATAAAGCCATCCGATAGTTGCATGTGGTGCTACTGTTCCTATGACTAGTTTTATGGCATCCTCCACTGAGATACGTTAATCTCAGCAGCTCAAGGTATTCAGTCTCTGTCAGCTCCGTCTACAAAGTAACACTAAATAGGCCTTAGCTATAATCTACAAATGTATGTGACTTTGTTTTGGGCTCATCGTCACGGTATCCATGGCTCTTATCTCATTTCCTTCTTCTTCTTCATCTTCTGTGTTTGTTATGTGGGACTTTGCTAACTATTTGAATCCTTTTCCTTTTTTCGCGCCACAGGCATTGGCCCCGCCGAGCACCTGAAAAGCGTAGGCGTGCCCGCCAAACTGGATCTGCCCGTGGGCCGCAACCTGAAGGATCACGCCAGCTTGCCCGTAATCTTCCAGATCGACAAGTCGACGGCCCGCAAGCCCACCGAGGAGGAGCTGGTGGATGCCATGTACAACCTGTTGATGGGTCGCCACAGCAAGCTGTTGCACCACGAGGCAACTGCCTTGACGGGCTTCATCAATACCACTTCGTTGCATGGCCCCAATCCGGACATTCAGACAACCAACTTCTTCAGTCTGATGCAGAGTCCGGAGCTGCGTGGCTATGTGAAGGCCACCGGGTTCAATGACCGTGTGGCCAAGAGCATTCTGTCCGCCAACGAGAAGTCAAACACGTATATCACCTACCTATTGCACCTGAAGCCCTTCTCGGCCGGCCGACTGGAGCTGCAGAGCGCCGACTTCTTGGACGCACCCCTCATCGATCCGGGCTACATGACCGATGATCGCGATGTGGAGACCTATATACGTGCCCTCAACATCTACAAGCGACTGCCGGAGACGCGAGCTTTCGGCGAGCGTGAGGCAGCTCTACACAAGGTCGACTTGGAGGCCTGCAATGACCTGGAATATCAGTCGGACGAGTACTGGCGCTGCTATATACGCCACATGACCACCACCGTCTACCATCCAGTCGGTACGGCCCGCATGGGGCCCGCCAGCGATCCCACGGCCGTGGTCGATCCCCGCCTCCGCGTGCATGGTGCGCGTGGACTCCGGGTGATCGATGCGAGCATTATGCCCGATATTGTTGGAGCGAATACGAATGCGGCTTGCATTATGATTGGCGAGAAGGGAGCCGATATGATCAAAGAGGATTATCTGGGTGCTAGCCAGCACACGGAGCTTTAAGTCCTTTCCCAACTGAACAAGCGAGAGCCACAATGCATACTCCATCCATTTAGGAGATTATGTGTGAATGATCTTCTTCATTTTTTTTTTTTTGTATTTGTTAGTTAGTCAATAAAGCGAGCACGTTTAAAAAATGTTAGAAGCTTGCATAAATTTATTCCGAATATTCCGTCCAGTGCTTGTCAAACATGATTGCTAACAATTGGTTTAGAGCTGCGTTAAGCTTGCGAGCTTTTCAAGCTCTGCGGGCTGCGATAAAAGCTCACCTTACGACAAACTGTGCAAATGAGAGCCAAACAATTGATCTCCAGTTGCTGTCAAACTCAAAGCTGAAGAGACATTGGGAATTAAAGCGGGAATTCAGTGGATCACAACATAAAAGGGACCATTTGCACGATATTCTTCGAATTGCTTAGGAAGTAATACACATATATATATAGTGATGTCTCAGTAAAAAAAGTAAAAAGCAATCCGATTCTTTGGCTGACAACTATTCCTTGTTCAGGCAACGAAGAATACAAATCGCAAAATTTTTTAATAAAGTAGTTATAAGGCGATAGACCCAGCTCATTGCTCAGAAGCAACCAACACCAACAAAAATCACCGATGCAAAGGAAAATAAATGTGAAATAAAGGCCTTATCGAATTCCTCCACAGGTTCAATATCACTGGGAAAACCGGAAACAATCACTTTAAATACTTTGATGCCAGATTTTGTGACCAAGGCACAAAAACTCGTATTTTGCAAATCGATGTAGGCCATGTCTCAATTTGAGTCTAGACAGTGTAGCACAAATTGTAAATCGTCATTTAGTTAGAGAGCCTCGCAGTGCTCGCATCTAAAATTAAATTTCAGTACTCCAAATTCAAAATTCAAAATTCAGAAAGAAAATAAAAATCGGGACTTAATTCAACTGCCGAACTTTTGTCCATAAAAATGTGCTTCTAAAAGTATTTGTGTTTTATTCAATGATTTTTAATTTTTGGGTATCATCATAGACGTTAAAAATGTTCATGTGACAAAATCCTGATTCTATTTTCGCTGACTCATCAAGTTTAAGGGTAAGTAGAAAATGTTCCCATTAATTATTGCAGTGTTGATCAGATAGCGATGTGGCCACCGAGTAGTGTTGAGCAAAGCTGAAATAGTGAGCGA